CTCCTCCTCCTCCTCCTCCTCCTCCTCCTCCCCCTCCTCCTCCTCCTCCTCCTCCTCCTCCTCCTCCTCCTCCTCCTCCTCCTCCTCTCCTCCTCCTCTCCTCCTCCTTCTGCTCCTCCTCCTCCTCCTCCTCCTGATCTTTCCCGCCATCCTCCCCCAAGTGTTCCCCGAAGGGTTTCCACAACGGTTGGGGGAATACATGATCCGATAGCTTGGCAGAGCTCTTGCCACAACGCTCGGACACATGGGTGCTTTCAACCCCTTGCTCCGCCACGCGTTCCCCGAAGTCTCTCCAAACAGACTCGGGGAACAACTGGCCCGATAGCTTGACCAAGCCCTAGCCCAGCGGCCACATAAGCGCTTTCACAAGGGCAGGGGGCGGAGGTGATTCGCCGTGGGCGTCTTCGATATGTTTTGAATTCCCCCCCCTCTGCCCAAATGCACTGTTGGTTTCGGATCTTCCGAGTTTGAGTGTCCGAAAGGTAGCGCGTAAACATACCAACTTTGACTTGCGGAGAAGGGGGGAGTGTTGTTTAGTTCCCAACCATCCTGTGGTGTCGGGTCCTCCTTTTGAAGAGACAGCGCCCCGCGTTGTCCTCTGTCACTCACTCCTCCTCCTCCCTCCTCCAATCTCTGCCCCTGCCCGCCGCACGAGTCAAGCTTTTCGGCACACCACTCACACGCTTCGTGGCCAAACAAGGAGCTCTATCCAAGGTCCCAGTGGCACCGTCCACATGCGTCCGCGCCACCCATGTCGGCACACCCCTCACACGCTCCGTGGCCACATAAAGACCCCAGGCCCCAGTGGCACCGTCCACAGGCATCCGCGCCACGCATTTCGGCACACCCCTAACGCTCTCCGTGGTCACAGAAGGAGCCCCGCCCCAGGCACCAGTGGAACCATCCACAGGCGTCCGCGCCACGCACATCGGCACACCCCTCACAAGCTTCGTGGCCCCATAGGCAGCTTAACCGAGGACCCGAATGGCACCGTCCACATGCGTCCCCGCCACTCATGTCGGCACACCCCTCACTCGCTTCGTGGCCCAAAGGGAGCCAAACCCAAGGGCCCTCCTCATGCCGATGGCTCTCCGCAGCCCCTGGGGTGGCTGCTGTGCAGGACGCATGGGGCGCCGGTAATGGCGTACGCATGGCCCACGCTCGAACAGCACCTGCACAAGCACCCCAGGGGTTAGAAAGCCCGGGCAACACAAGCACCCCACCGAGACGGTACGGGGATGCGCCTCCGGATCGCCGGCCCGACGGGAATCAGGGGGGGTCGTTCGGGCTGCTC